ATAAACATTATCATAAATTTAGGGGTTTTTCGTGGGGCACCCTGTAGATGGATTGCCTAGAAGATCCAGCTTGGACAGTCGGCTTTCTGTATCAGAATTGGTAGATTAAATACGTTGCATTAGGCTGGGCGAGTTAATTTATGCAAGTGTGATTAAACTCGCGGCCCCTTGGGACCTCGTAGCTCAGCTAGCTGGGGCGTTTGATTTACTAAAGTTTTACCCCTGTTGGCGTGAGTTCGAATCCCATCTCACAGGAGAGTCAAATATATTCATCCTCTATCCCATTTTCTTAAAATAGCAGAATATTGATGTGCCGCAGAATTTTGCATAAAGTAGTGGGCAATTTGATTTGTTATTTTGCTTACCAGTAACCAGCGGTTAGATATCTGCGCGTGTGTCAGGAGTGAATCCTCGAGGCCGTCCTTGAGAATACCCTTTCTAATCGTATGAGTCCCCATTCCTTTTCATCCTAATGGGACTAAATGGCAAGGACGTTATGGTTGAGAATTTTAGATCCTGCATCTGCAAATTTAAATTTGACGTAATTATGACGACGTATTTTTGTTTATCAAGTGCTGGAATGGTGCCCATCGTCATGGGTGGTAGTCCCGAAGACTACTACAGCATTGCACCACCGAATTCCTACATTCACATGGGCCAATTTCCAACCCTGGGGAAGCTCGCAGAGTACATACGTTACCTTGACCAGAATGATACCGCGTATTCGGCATACTTTGCCTGGAAGGCCCTCGGAACCCTTAAGGTAAACTCACAGCCTTAGTTGCTACCTTTGTGGCGGCTAGCTTACAGCTTTCTAGCTGTCCTGGTCCGTTCCGTCTTCTATTTCGTGGCATTGCATACAGGATGTAGCCTTTAAAATGCAAAATTTCGAAATCTACGGATTCTTGCTAATTATTTTAAAACTGGCGCCCCCGAATGTGCCAAGCATGTTACATAGTAAAAAAACTATGAATTGATTAAGGATAGGAAATAACTACTCAGAGTAATATGACCTAAGTTATTAACACCAACATTTTTATAAAAGCGGAAAGTTCGGGAAACGTCATATTTTGAGAGAAAAAAAATAAAAAAAATAAATATGAGTAAATTAAAATATAATTGTCAGATTCAATCTTAAACAATTAAATATATTTCAAGAGCACATTCCTCTCGTTAGTCTCCCTTATACGCATTAGTGGTAGTTAATTCTTATGAGTTTCGATCGTTTCAGTGCCCTCAATCAATCATTCATAAATGTGTTTATCAAATATATATATCTAGCGGTTATCCGCGGTCCTTCATACGTGAATGCCGCCAAAAGCCCATCCGGAATCGACCAAACGGCGAAAAACCGAAGTTTTGGCTAGCGATCCCCTACGTGAGAAATGTTTCGGCGGCGACAGCTCGACTCCTGGACCCTTTTAGTATTGGAGTCGCCCATAAACCGGATTCGACCATCCGACAGCAGATAATGAGACCCAAGGACCCGCTACCGGCAACGGAACAATCAGCAATGGTTTACAGCATACAGTGCCAAATTTTCAGTGCAAGGTATGTTGGTGAAACGGGTTACCACCTCTGCACAACACTGCATGAACACTACACTGTCACTGGTATACGGCCACATGGAACGGGAGTAGCATAGTTTCGCTTTCAAAAACGCCAAAGTCATCGGCCAATCCAAAGTCACGATGACCAGATTGGTTTTGGAAAGTTGGGCATCCGTGGGCATAATCAACAGCAACATTGATTTAAATCCCGCCTGTCAAGCCCTCCGTGCAAGGCTTCAATCAGCCCCGAAGAGGCCATCGGCAGTAGTGAGCGACTTACAACTTCGTCAACAGTGGTCACCAACCGGTCCAACCACTCGAGTATGAGAGG